ACCCTCCTTTCATAAAAAATATGAGAATTTGCTGTTTCTGCATATGAATTCATGCAGTGTTTACTTGTGAGGTGGAAGTTGAGGAAAGCCACACTTGTGTATTTACATGTTTGCCCTCCTTACAGAGTGCTTCCAGGAGAGCGAGCATCTAAAGGAGAGTCTGAAATGTTGCCTGCTACACCTGTTTGGAGCAGTAGTTGCTGGAGATCAGGTAAGCTTCAGCTTAAATGAGCTGGGCTTGCTGGCCATAGATGTAGTGATAGAGTGCTTTGAGATGCCATTCATCATTATTATTATTAGTAGTAGTACTAAGTAGAACTGCTTCTTGTTAACTGTCTCAGACTATGTTGTGGATATGAAGGAGTGACTTTTGGTTTATGGTTTCTTTTATTTCTCTGCTTTATCTGATTGGTTGATCACCAGTAAAGGAATACAGCATTGATGTTTAAATGAGCACTCTTCATCTTGAATGCAGTGCATGAGTTGCTATTGTATTCTTTATTTTTCAGTGGTATTGTTGTTTATCTTGCCGCTTTCCCGCACTCTAGGACGGCGCTTTCAATTCTCTCTGATCTCGACTGACTTGCTTTGACTAACTCACATCGTTTCCCTCCCTCCACCACTGCAACCCCGGCAGAGGAACGCTCTCCTTGCAATTTCTCCAGCCACCATGGAAGTGTTGATGCGGGTGCTGGCTGACTGCTCCATGGGTAGCTGCTCCTCAGAGGAAGGCGAGGACTGGGATAGTGAGGCCCCGGACCGTAAAGCACTGCTGACGTTGGGCTGCCTGCGGGAGGTGGTCCAGCGGCTCCTGGCCTCCAGCTCAGACCAGCGGCAGGTGGAAATCGCCTCAGTGCTGGAAAACTACTTTAAGCTGCTCAACTCGGACCCAGCAGCTGTCGTGGCTGCCCAGCAGCAGCAGCAGCAAGCCAAGGGCCGAGTGCCAACACTGGGTCGACACTGGGAGAGCAGATTTGTGGCCCTGCAAGTAAACATGCTAGGTATGATCTTAATCCACAAAAGTGTGTCTTTCGTCATTTTGAAGACATTTTAAATTAGTTATCAGCTGCTGCATTTTGTTTTAAGGATAATTTTCAAAGATGGAAGCCGAGCTAATCTAACAGTGTTTACATTCTGTCATCATTCATCTCTCTACTCCTTTTTTATTTGTCTCACTGTGCTTCTCTTCGTCTTTGCCCCTCTGTATTGATTTCTCCTGCTGCCTTTCAGACACTATCAGGGACATGTTCCTGTGTTCAGACAGGCCAGTACTACAAGCCATCTTCCTCAACAGTAACTGTTTTGAGCATCTCACACGACTGCTCCAGAACAGCAAGGTAAAAGCACAGCTCTTTTTTTTTCTGTTTCTTTTTTTTTTGTCTATTTATAACCCGTAGATTCAGCTGGCATCGAGAACTGTGCAGGATCTTTGTTGTACTTGTTAGTATCTTGTATCTGATACCCCAGCCTCCTAAGGCTGTTTGTGTTTACACACTGATAAGGAGGCTGTACTGTGATGCAATGCTTGTATTGTATCTTGTCGTTTTTCATTGTATTTGCTATTTAAAGAGAGAGAGAAATGAAGAAAAATGAGCAGGAAGCCAAACACATGGAGCTGTGAGAAGTGGGGTGATATTCAGAGAAAAACGATCATTTGCAAATTTGCAAGTCAAAAAAATACTAGTAGATTTTTTTTTTTTTATGTTAAGGAATTAAATCTTCAGCTTCTAAGACTGAATCTACCTCATCATACCCCAGATACTGTTGCTAAACAGGGACGTGCAAGCTCATGCATATTCATGCAAGGTGTGCATGAATATGCATGAGGCCTCGGATGGAGCCTTTTTATGCAGAGTTTGCATGTTCTCTCCAGGTCCTCCGCCTTCCTCCCACAGTCCATAGATGTGCATGGGATTAGATTAATAATGTTAACCCCCGAACCTGAATTGGATAAGCAGAAGAAGATGGATGAATATTTAAACACAGTATATATGATGTAAACACCAATATGCTTGCATTTGCTGTAGTACGTGATGCCGAGCAGCTATCACCTCCACCAAATAAGAATGTTGTTGCCCTCTAAATGGGCTCATCACAGCCATGTCTCTTTAAAGTCTGGAGGTTTCTGATAATTTGGGGTTTCCAGGCTGAAGTTGGGTGTTTCCTTATTGCTAAATTTGTTCCAAAGTTATTTGATTAAGTTGTACAATTCAGATACATGACGAGCATCAGCAAACTGTCCTGCATCTCAGATATCATTCAGGATTTTACTTGTAAATATGTGACTTTTTCCTCTGAATACTACACCCATACCTGGGCCCCACAGTTGCACTAGTATGGTATCATCATGGAATCACTTTAATGTGTAATTATTTTTCAGATTATTGATTCACTTGAGTAGCATATGAGTTGATGGAAAAAATTGTATTTTTTTTAATATGTAGTTGAAGTTCACATCTTAGAAATCGGTTTTATTATCACATCTCTGGTCAGTCTTCTGCAGGTGACACATTTGAAGTTGAATACGGTTTTGTCCAGGTCTCATCAATCCTGTTTGTCATGTTTAGTATTTCACTTTCAGTGTGAGAAAGAGCATTTTGCCCTCCTTGCATGTTTACCTCTGCACAGCGCAGCTGGATCACCAAACAACGCGTCCACACGGTGACATTGCTATTAACCTAGCACCCTCTCCTCCACTTATAACATCTTTCCTCCTCCCCTGCACTGTCCTCTGTCTCTCCCTTGTCTCTTTCTATCAGCCTCCCCACATGCTATGTTGACATGTTGCCTGTTGTGTCTATCAGCTGGTTAATGCTAGGTGCACGGCGGCAGACAAGGACCAGAAAGATATAACCAACAACAGGTTACTGACAGGCGAGAGGGACACTCAGGTACCGCCGAGAAAAGCCCCACATTATCTCACCCCCTCCACATCATTCATCTGCCCTTATTCTCATCTGCTACTGCTGCCAAATCCCTCCACTTTCATCTCACCAGAGTCATGAGGCCGCTCCACAGCAAGACCCTCATACTGCCTTACCTTATTATTATTATTATTATTATTATTATTATTATTATATTACTACTACTATTATTACTATTTTACTTGGATTGTGAATTAATAGCACAATAGAGAACACGCCGATGTTTTCCTACTGCTAGTCCCAAGCCTGAATAAAAGGGGAGGGTTATGTCATGAATGACATCTGCCATAAAGTCTTTGCCAAATCAAACATGCAGATCATCAGGAATGAGATTTCCATACCAGACTGGTCATGGTCTGGTTGCCAATAAAGTGCCATTGGAAACTTTGCTGTTGTTGGCTGAAGCCAACATGATAGACGAAAGAGGACAAGGAGACTTTGTGGTGCAAAGTTTAAGAAAGGTAGATGTTAGCACAGAAAAAGTGGGATAGTAAGGGAGATGAAGTAAGTAGTGCTGAGGCGGGACACTTAGGAAGGAGAAAAAGACTTGTATCAATTGGCTGGGCGGAGAGATTGAACTAGAATGGATGTGCAGCAGGTTAGGGTGATTTAAGATAGAGATGGAGAGTATGTTGAGAAGATGGAAGGAGTACTTTAACAGGCAGATGAATAAAAAAAATGAGAATGAGGAGGACTGATGGAGGTGAGTTAGTGAATCAGAAGGTACAGAGGATTGGTAAGGGGGAAGTGAGGACAGCTGTGACAAGGATGAAGCTGGTCCAGATGACATACCTGTGAAGGTATAGAGATGTCCAGGAGACTTTTTAACACTTTCAGTCAGACAAGGTTTGAGGAATGGAGAAAACGTGTACCGGCAGCAGTTTTTAAGAACAAGGGTGATGACGGGTGATGTAGTAACCACAGAGGGATAAAGCTGATAAGTCAAACAATGGGAAACAGTTGTTGAAATTAGGTTAAGAGCAGAGGTGACGATCAGCAAGCAGCAGTGTGGCTTCGTGCCGGGAGAGCACTACATATACAATGTTTTAGAGGGTTGATACAGGACGTCAAAAAGAGGTCCACTGTGTATTTGTGGATCTAGAGAAAAGATATTATTTGGTGCCAGAGTATGATGAGAGGATGCTGGGGACAGTGTGAGATGGAGGCAGATGATTCACTGTGGCAAACCCTAAAGGGAGCAACCAAAAGATGATTAACAGAGAATCCTCTTGCTGTCAGGGTGCTGATCATTCGTTGTGACTGCAAATGCAGCTAATGCATCATCAGGCGATAGCTCATAGATTCAGAAAATGTATTCCTACCTTTGCTCTGCACAGGGACTGTTCACCAGCAAACCAGATCCTGCTCAAATGTGATTGGTCAATAGAACTAAAACCACAAGCAGACTACAATCCCAAACCAAAATGCTTCTGGTACCTAAAGTCTTTTCTCTTGCCTACAGAATCTTTTTTACACAGATGTAAAGGTACATTCCCATTGATCATTCCCATAATTAATTTGGAAGGTTCATAAATGTTAGGCTAGATCAGGATCTGTAATTTGTGAAGTGCTGATAATGCACCAAAAAGATGTCTCGCCAAACAATACAGCTTCCAGCATGAACAGAAAATAACATGTAGCAGCAGGTAAGTTAACCTATCTCACCTACAGAGATGAAAGATTTGGTCTGCTTTAGTGAGTCAACAAATACCAGCTGAACAGTGAAAAGTAAAACTTTACTAAGTTCACTAGGTTTTAATATTTCCTGGTCCTTCAACTGCAACTGAGCTAAGGTGATAAACAACCACTCAACAATGTGATTTTTGTGGCCTTGCTGTGGAGTGACTTCGATGCCTCGTGTGTTAAAGCAATTTCCTCCCTCCCCTGAGCACCTCTTCAGTCCTATTCCCACCTTCTCATGCATTGTCCTGGTTTTCTTTGGTATACTAAGGGCTCCACTGGAATGCTATCACAATGGCCTGGTGTGTGTTCTCACAGAGTTCAGTGGTTTGAGGTAATCTGGACTCTGTGACGATGATCTGAGTGTTTTGTTTTTGCCACAGTCCCTCTCCAGCTGGTCCGAGACTCTGCAGAGCATTCTCATGTCAATCAAATAATGAGTTTAGTGACCCAGAATGTGTCGGGCATGAGCAGGACAAAGCTGGATGGAGATGGATCTGTGTTAAATGTGTCATGGTTTGGCTTGTGTTTTATGGGTTGCATGCTTTGTTTTAAATGTGTGTGCCACTGTGGAAAGAAAAAACAGTGAGGTACTTCTTTGTGGTTGACTGTCTGTGTGGAAGTGGGTGTTTCTTTTTGTTTTAAATTAAACCTTGATGTCCCGATGCTATTAAAAGGATTGTTTTTACCTGGAGCAGAAGAACAAGTCTTACCTTCACTATAACATCTGCAGTACAAGCCTTGATGCCAGCTCCTACTGCAGGGTTTTAACCATCATCAGTGATTTTTACTCACTTTTCACACAAACAAAATGAATCAGACTCCAAGGCATCGACTAAAGTTTACTTCTTATCTTTTTTTTTATAGTGATGCATGTTGTTTTTAGGCCCTGAAAGAAGTTGGTCTTCAGTGTTGCAATCATCTGTCAGTACCAACTTTTCCTAGAACAACTTTTTAGCAACAGGGGACAGACTAGTTTTTTTTCTTTCAGGTGTTTCAAGGGCGGTTGGACTCCCTTGCCGTAGCAACCATCAAAGCCCTAACAACAGTGATGCACAAATCGCCAGCTGCAAAGGTAAAACTATTGGTAGTCTGTTACTTTTAATTTTGCAATTTTATATTTTTAGAGATTGCTAGCGACTGTGGGCTAAAAGAGCTTAAATAGCACACCTTGTATATGACAGCCTGCTACACAACCATTTGGCTATCAGCGGAGTCAGCAGGGTTTGAAGACTGAGTGACTGGAGACACTTATATCTTTGTCGGTGTGCTTGTTCTATGCCACACAAATGATAGAACAATTGATATTGTTTCATTAAAGAGACTTTCATTTAATGCCAAGTGAATAAAACTTGTAACGTCCTGAAACGTTTCTGAAACATTACAAAGACGTTTAGTTGGAGTCAAATTGTTACAAAATTCCTTGTGGCTCTCTTGATTTGTACAGGAGGTTTTTAAGGAGAGGATTGGGTACAATCACTTGTACGAAGTACTTATCTCCCTCGGGCAGCCATCTCGACACCTCCTCAAAGAGCTGATGAATATGGTGAGACAAAGAATGAAGACTTTTGTTGTCTGACTTTCAAATTTCTATAGTTGTCTGAATAATGCAAAGTGTTTAATGGCTGTATTTCCTAAATCGTTAATGGTTGGTGACTAGAGTTCTGTCTGTGTGTGTGTATCCAGGCAGTGGAGGGTGAGCACACCTCAGTGGGCCTCCTGGGCATCAGTAATGTGGAGCCATTGCTGCTGCTGGTCCAGTGGCTCCCAGAGCTGGACTCCTCAGAACTGCAGCTCTTCACAGCCGATTGGCTCCGCCGCCTTAGTTGCCTCAACCGCCAGACCCGTGCTACCTGTGTCAACGCCGCCATGGTCATGCGCGCACTAGCTGCCCTGGAGCGCCACGAGCGACTACACAGAGCTTGTGCTGAAAGCCTTTTGGGGCTAGTGGGCTCACTTGGGTGCCAGTCTTTGAGTGCCAGGGAACTGTTGGAGTTCTTGCGTCTCCTTCGGCTTCCAGAGTCCAGCCAAGCACATCCATACGTAGGTCCTGCCCTGAAAGCCCTCCTCGCCATGGTGCGCAAGCAAGGTTTGGAAAGTGCCATGCAGTACTTTGACCTGTCGCCCAGCATGGCTGGCATCGTAGTTCCAACAGTGCACCGCTGGCCAGGGTCTGCCTTTAGCTTCCTCGCCTGGTTGTCGCTGGACCAGGACCAGCTGGGCCCATCCAGCAAAGACAAGAGAAAACAGCTGTACAGGTGAGAAGAAAAGACATAAATATAGGCAGGAATAATGGGAACACATTCTATATTTAAATCAGTGTTGAAGGATGTTTATAATCTTAAATTTTACATATAATGTTAACCTTTGTAAATCAAAGGCTTTTGACAATGGTAGGCAGTAATCTGGTAAAAACTTATCTGTAATCTGTAATTCTATAATTAGCACTCAATCTTTCAAAGCATATTGGATTATTCTGCATTACATAGTTAAAGTAAACAAAGCTGCATTGAGAAGGGAAACGCTGTTTTTACCAGGAAAAAAGGGAATTCAGTCCCTTCATACCTGAAGTAGTCCGTGGTTGGATTTATTTGGCCCCTCAGTGTAACCTATAGCAACAATTTCAGTAAAAAGCTATGCATGTTAAACACTCAAAATGTTTCAAATTTTTTTCTTTGATTCTCTACAGCTTTTTTACTCCAGGAGGAACGGGTTTTGAGGCCTTTATTAGCTCAGCAGGTGTGCTGGTTGTGGCCGTTTGCACAAAGAAGGAGTATGTCACAGTCATGCTGCCTGATTACTGCTTCTGTGACTCTCTCTGGGTGAGTCAGATTTAATGATGTCATTTCTTTGCTGAAAGGGTAGTACCACTAAAAAATGCGTCTCCAGAGCACATGAATACATCAGTATTTATCAGAGATGAATCAGAAAGATGTGTAACACCCTTGACTGTTCCTTGAGTTAATAAATCCAGCTACACAAAGATGATATGTGTAGAGTATTTATTTAGATGAATACTTCATTTGGACCTCTTGTGGAGTTGTAGTTTAGGAAGTTGACGCCTAACGGAGGTGTTTGAATTTCTGTCCACAGCACAGCATCGGTGTGGTGCATGTGCCTGGAAAGAGGCCATTTGGACAGAGTCTAGTCTACATTTATGTGGACGGACAACAGAAACTTTCTGCCCCCCTCAAGTACCCGACCATGACAGAGGTGAGACCTGAACCAATCAGCTTATCTGTCATAACACCTAAATTTTACAGTTTCTAAAATATTTTTGCTGTCTTATATTCTTTCTTTGTTTCCCACATTCTTCTGCTTTACTCTTCCTGCAGCCGTTCACCTCCTGTTGCATCGGCTCAGCAGGCCAGCGCACCACCACTCCTCCACCCTCCCAGATCCCAGACCCTCCCTTCTCTTCGGCCACCACCCCTACCACTCGCTCGTCACTGGGCGGCATCCTGTCCCCTCACACCTGGGGAGGCCTCCTGGGAGGGAAGCCTGAGTCTGTGACTAAGCTAATCTCAGCGGGCACTCAGGATAGCGAGTGGGGAAGCCCCACGTCCCTGCAGGGCCAGCTAGGAAGTGTCATGGTGTTTCATGAACCACTGCAGCAGAACCACATAAAAGCCATCTGTAGTGCTGGTAAGTGATGTGAAATTATGGAAGAGGTGCAAAATTAAAAATAAATGTAAAGAAAAAAGAATTGAACAAGAATGTGGTTTGAATCAGTTTTATAACTTAAGGTTTTTTCTGCACAGGTCCAAACTGCATCTCTCCATTTAAAGCCCAAGAATCAGAGCTTGGGGACCTTTCAGCCAAATTGTTGCTGCACTACTCACCCAAGGTGCTTACTGTGATTACTGTCTCAGCCACGCCCTCTTAGAATCAGCTAGCTGTGTGTAGCAGCAGATGGGATTCTCCAGGGTTACATCACCTCCTTTTGTTTGTGTTTAGCTGAAACTTTACCTGCTAACTAAACAAAGTCCTTTTGTTAACAGGCCTGCAGAAACCCCATCTGCCTGGACCTGTCTCCAAACATGCTCCACGGACGCCTGACAGGGAACAAAGTTGTTAACTGGGATATCAAGGTGGGCGGAAACTGCAACTCGTGCTGTCATGGAAACGTTTTATGGCCAGTGGAGTATTTGCATGGATGTAATGTACACACTATTTTAATATGAACTGAAGGTCCTTCTAGAAGCACATCTTCCCTCTCAGCAGCTATTTTTAGAATGAAATCAAGGCCATTGATGCTTAAAGTTTATTTTTAAAAAATCAATGTAAAATGTGGCTTGGTCTTTAAAGTGCTGTGATTGGTTGGTGAAACTAGAAGAGTTCTACCTAAATGCCACTGTGTTTGATGTGCTGCCTGTGGGAGGGTAACTTTGGACAGTGCCTGAAATGATTCTCCTTACACGTTCTGGAGTTTGTGTGTGAAAACTGGTCAAATCATATAGAATGTTTGGTAAGTTTGTCCCAAAATAATGTTTTAAAAGCTTTTGTCCACAGACTTTCCTGAGGATATTATGCCTTTGGCTCAGTCCACAATGCTGACATCAGTCTCTGACATATCCCAACAGAGCACTTGAATAAATTTAATCATCCAAATCTGTGTTCTAGA